GACGTCCTTGTCACCCATGTACCGTTCCATCGCCGTGCAGAGCTGGGGAAGGGCACTGATGCTTAGGAACTTAGTTCTTACTAATGGTGAATCAACCAAGTTTCTCAACGTAGCAGTCACCTAGGATAAAAGCATGCTTGTGCCATTTTTTTTTAAACTGAAAAAATATAACCACAAGAAGCAGCAGAGCACAATTCATCTCATAAATTTTCTTCTATCAGTAGCTAAGTGAAGCTCCCCCTATGCCTCTCCCACCAGCACAAGTAGCAACAAATGAAAACAAAGAAAGCCTAATTTGGTTGAAAAGTAAAGAATGAAATAGTAATCTTTGTAAGCAATTGGTATACCCCAAACCCAGGGTTAAACAAATCATCATCTAGGTTTAACAGTCCTAAGATCTTCAGCTGGCCCCCTGATAGCCACGTCAGTTCTGCAGATTAGAAACTTTTTGTTCTGTTTTTCTTCCTTTTTTTTTTTTTAATTTTATAGGTATTCTTGTCTGATTGTTCTATGCTTTTATAAATAGCATCAGGTAATGATGTGGCCAAGGAATATTTAAGATCTTTACTCTCATTCTCTCCCAAGAGGCAAGTATTAAGATCTCACAAATTTGTCTTATTTTGTAAAAAATATAAAATAAAATAAAATAAAATAAAATTCAGGAAAGCATCTACTTTACCTTTGTCAAAGAGTCAAGAAGAGAAGAGTTTAGTAAATCATAAAATGAATGTTGTTATCTAATAATTTTAATATGCAGTGTGCTCCTTCCTTGTGGGACACTGCAGGCAAGCTACTGGTTAAGAGCCAGTTCAGCCCCACCACCCATCAGCCTGGGTTAGTTACTTAACCTCCCAGAGCACATTTTTCTCATTCAGTAAAGTAGAGGTGATGATACTTGCCTAGTAGTTGTGAGGATTCAATGAGATGAGATGTGTGAATGGCATTGCTGCCATCACTTTAGAGTCAAATGACAGGGATTCAAGTCCCACATCTCTTCCTAGTGAAGTGCCTAGGGGCAGCCACTCCTTCCTCCACTTCCCCATTTCCTCATCTGTGAAAAGCAGGTGACAAGCACTGCTCACCTCTGGGGGTGGAGGGGTTGTGTGTAGCAAATGGAACCATGTAGCACTGTTTTTATTACTTATCTAATACTGTAAAGCATCATGTAAACATAAAGCATCATTATAGCCATAGTATATAAACTTCTAAAAACAGTTCTTAAGATGACGCGATTAGTTTTTCTTTATAACAACAGCAACAAAAAGATACATTAAAATATAACTGACTACCCTGAAAACACAGAAAATGTTAAAAAAAAAATGCTTCAAATAAATGTGTACAAGTCTTTTGCAATCAATTCAATTATACAATGATTCTGTAAATTCTTCCCTGAAAGTTTCAGATATCCCAAACACTGGAGGTGAAACAAACTACTTTGAGTATTCCACTTAACTCCACAGATCTGCACAATATAACAATATAGCCTTCTAAGCTAAGGAATTGACTTTTTCTTTTTCTTTTTTTTTTGGAGACAGAGTCTCCCTTTGTCATCCAGGCTGGAGTGCAGTGACAGGATCTTGGCTCACTGCAACCTCTGCCTCCCCCATTCAAGCAATTCTAGTGCCTCAGCCTCCCAAGTAGCTGGAATTACAGGCACGTGCCACCACGCCTGGCTAATTTTTGTATTTTTAGTAGAGACAAGGTTTCACCATGTTGGCCAGGCTGGTCTCGAACTTCTGGCCTCAAGTGATCCAACCACCTCAGCCTCCCAAACCTCTGGGATCACAGGGGTGAGCCACTGCGCCCAGCCAGGAATCGATCTTTTGTGAAGACTAATGAACCATTCTAGGAATTCCATTGCTGTCATAAAATGGAAAAGTCTCATCATCTGACCCCGTTTCCACCTCTTCTCCTGAGACAGCCCAGGCACTGGAGCACTACTGGTTTACATTAATTCAGAGGATGCCTCAAAACTCTCTTCCATGGAGACCGAAGAGTACAGATGCCTGACTCCCAGGCAGACGGACACCACAGGAAACCATGAAATACCCATTCCAGTCACTGCACACCAACAGTTCCTTTTCCCTGGCCCCCAAGGCATCAAAGATGGGGCATCCCAGTCCATAGTCATCCTCACACTCCCCACATCTAACCTCTGGCAAGGGACACTGCCAGCAGAAAGGACTATAGTTTCCTTAGGAGCTTTTATTTTCTTGTTTCAATCTCAATTTTTTCTCCTTCTCAGGCCTTATTCTCACCTCATTAGCAAAAGTTTAGACAGTTCAAGGTTCTTCTGCCCCACATACATAACTTTCATAAATAACCCAAGTCAGGAGAGAAAGTCCACGTTTATATGTGACATGTCATCTGATTGAAATCCCTACCTGCACGTGATACACACAGTTGAGTTGATACAATACCTCATATATTTCCAAATTTGTCATTTGTGGTACTGGTAGAAATAACATGCATGAAACACACACCATGCATTTGAAAAATACACAGCAATAGCTCAATAGATGACACCATCAACCTAGTTGCCCAAGCAGAGACATCCCAGAATCCTAGGAGGCTTTCTGCTTTCTGTCACTCCAAGCCATATTGGCTTTTTGTCCATAGCTCCCAGGATAATATTCAGTTCTCTGACCATGGTCTACAAGGATCAACAGATCTGGTCCTTCTCAAACCATCAGGCTTCATCTCATACCATATATGCCCCCATAAACTCTACTTAATGCTAGGTTATTTAATATTACGTTTTACTATCTGTCTACTCCTCCGGACTAGAAGCTTCAATAAGGGCATAAACCTTGTTCATCCTTTTCACCACTGCGCATCCAGCTCCAAGGCCAGTGCCTGGTACATGTGGGCGCTCCATAGGCATTTATTAATGGAATGAATGAAGGGGATAACATCTACAAAGGAAAGACTGGGATATCAGAACACTATGGGCTAAGCAGACATATCTCTGAGGTAGACAGATTTTAAGATTTGTTTTAAAGCAGAGGAGTGAAAAATAATGGATGAAAGAAAAATGAACTCTCTGGAAGGGGACCGGCCTCTGTGTATTTGTTCTCTAGCCTATCTCATTTCTGACAGCAGCCCCTTCCCAGGCTCCTAAACTCCCTCCCAGGCCCTACCCCTTTCCCCACCTTACCGGTCACACGTTCGCCCCTTCTCTCCATCACCAGCATCACTGGTTCAGTTTAAGCTTACTTTGTCTCTTACCCAAACTCTACAGCCCCCTGGATGGGCTCCTTCCACAGTTCACCCCCACAGCTGCTCACTGCTGCCAGAGGGGGCATCTGAAAGCCATGCCTTCCCTGTTCAAAGGCCTCCTGTGACTTCTGGCCCAGTCAGTAGCACCCATAGCCTAACGGTTCCTCAGTCTCTGAAGTGCAGTTCATCCCTCCAAAGTCATCTCCTTTGCCTCCGCACCACCTGGCCATCCTTCAGACTGCACCACACGAGGTCTTCATCCCTTCATGACGCCATGCCTTTGAATAGGCGGCTTCCTCCGTCCAGAGTGTCCTCGATTACACTCTGCCACCCCTTTTCCCCCTGGCCATCTCCTGCTCATTTTTCTTTTCTCTTTTTCGAGATGGAGTCTCGATCTCGGCTCACTGCAACCTCTGCCTCCCGGGTTCAAGCGATTCTCCTGCCTCAGCCTCCCGAGTAGCTGGGATTACAGGCAAGCACCACCA